CAAGTAGTTCATAATGCTTCATTTGTGTGGTCCAGATTCTGATGGTTCACATGCAAATTTTACACAGTTTTTCGCCACTAACGCTGTATGTTCAAAACTTACATGATTTTCTTTGACATTGATAATTTATTCGATATATGTTGTAAATGACAAATATCCCCCCAGATGACGTGTTAACATGAGCATAATATATTGATAAACAACATAATATTATTGTTATTACTATTCATTTTGATACTGCAAATGGGATCGGAAGGAGGAAAGATAAATTGACTATGAGTTGTGAGAGATGAGGAAACTACAAAAAGAAAAATTCTTCTTATGGTAGTTATAATATGTGCTAAGTGGTAGCGGCTAGATGGTTATGGTTAGGTGTGAGTTTCACAATCATATACTAGCTAAGGAATTAGACATCCATAACTTATTAGGTCATTTAAAAGATAATGAAAGGAAAATTGTAAATGACATGACCAAATACAATACGGCTCCCATATACATAATTGTTGCTTTGAGAGATAAAGATCTAGAAAATCTCACGAGCCTTACTCAAGTGTACAAGGAAAGATATACATAAAAAAAACGAACAAGAGAGCTCTGTTGACTGAAATTTGCGTCTAATTCATGAAGAGAAATACATTTATTGGACCAAAAACATGGACGATTCAAATGTTATTGCTGATATCTTTTAGACGCATCCTGATTCAATGAATTTATTGAACATGTTTCATTTGGTGTTGATTTTTTATTGTACATACAAAACAAACATGTAATGCATATTCCAATTGCTTCTATTTTCATTTATTTGATTCTGGACTGGAAGGTGTTGATTAGTTATTGTACATACAAAACAAACAGGTATCAATTACCACTATTTGAGATCGTTGGTGTTACATCCACGAAGTTGACATTTTCAGTTGGATTTACCTATATGGAATATGAAAGGGAGGAAAAATTCACATGGGAACTAGATAAGCTGAAGTGTTGTTTGCTTACGAGAAGTTGCTACCAAAGGTTTTGATTATGCATCGTGAATTGATGTTGATGAATACCCTGAAGGTGTGAAGAAAATGCAAGAAAATGGGGGTTTGAATTGAGTTTTCCTTTCTTGAATAACTTTCGCTTCTAAGCATTATTCGTTGAACAATGCTTGTGAGTGTTACTTCTAAGTAATGATTTTAATTAAGTTAAGAAAACATAAACTCTAAAGCATAAGCAAAAGTAAATAACATGTGATATAACCTGGTTCACTTGAGAAACCCCCAAGCTAGTCCAGTCCACCCTACCAAGGTGATTTCGCCTTGAACTCAAGGACTTAATCCACTATAACCAAACTGATTACAATTTGCACAAGCTACCCGCAAGTGACTAACAATCTCTAAAACACACAAGTCATAGACTTCTTAAGGATACATACCTACCTGGCCCCTTAAGGAAAATCCTGCACAAGCTACTCGCAAGTGACTAACAACCAATGACGCGTTCAGGGATCCAAACTGGATATAACATTCATTGACCTAATAGAATCTGATCCCTCAGAATCTTCTATCAGGATTTCCTTGCAATGATATCCATTCACAAGAGTCTGACCTTCACTCGGCCCTCTTTAAGATATGACTACCATTGACCCAATAGAAACCACTACCAGGATTTCATAATGACATTCAATCACTTTCTTCTTGAGCACAGACCTTCACTCAGTCTCCCAAGGAAATAATCAACGCCAGTTGATGGGTTTCTTGTGTTTACAAGAATGCTTCTTCTAAGCAGATTACATAAGCGTTTTGAGCATATATTGTTTAACACTTATACGAGCAACATCTGAAGTGTTAAAACAATTTACATGAAGAGATAATAACATGGACATTATTCGAGTAATAACTCTAGTGTTCATTACATGATTGTACAGAGATGAATACGATCTAAGTTCAAGTGCAACATCTTGTAGTCTTCTTGTCTTCATTTTCTTTATTGAGCAAGCTATGAGCAACAACTCCTTGCTTCTTCATATTTCTATCAAGAAGTATTTGATAAGAATTTGAGTATCATCTTGTTGAATTCTTCTTGTTATTATTGTTATAGTGGTTGATAGCTTTTTGGTTGTGTTCCAATAATGACATCTTTCATTTTTAACATTGAACACCAACAACATTTTAAACATACGATTCTTTTCTTATATAGCCAAGCAAAATAGAGTCGTTGGCTATTTGAAAAAGAGTCGTTACAAATAGTATTGCTACTTCCTTTTCTCTTCCATAATTCAAGCTAGTTGAGAGGTAGTGGAATAAGGCTTTTTTGTATTATGTACTATTGTACCATATTACTATTATATTCTTTCCTTATCCACTTCAGAGGCTTCTGTGAGCACGAGTTTAGAAGCGGGAACATAACATAAGGTCTTCATAACTTCAAGTCTTCAAAGTCTTCAGAACTTCAAGTCTTCAAAGTCTTCAGAACCGCGTCTTCAGAGTCTTCAGTACATGGTCGTGAGAACCTGTTGTAGAGAACCTTGGATCGGAAGAGCTTCAAGTCTTCTGAGTCTTAAAAACTGCGTCTTTAGAATCTTTAGCACTTGGTTCTTTAAGAATCCTTTTAAGAACCTTGTTATTTGAAACACAAGTCTTCAGCATCTGGACTTCAGTAGAAACTTTGTCTTCAAATCTTTTAACTTTATCTTATTTGAAACAAGTTGTCTTTTAGAAACTATATTTTTAGCATCTGGACTTCAGTAGAAACTTTGTCTTCAGATCTTCTAACTTTGTTTCTTTGGAACACACTATCTTAAAAAACTTGAGTCTTTAGCATCTGGACTTTAGTACAAACTTGAGTCTTCAGATCTTTTGATTATTTTCTTAGAACATACTGTCTTTAGAAGCTTGAGTCTTTAGCATCTGGACATAAGTAGAAACTTGAGTCTTTAGATCTTCTGACTGTTTCCTTAGAACACATTGTCTTTAGAAGCTTGAGTCTTTAGCATCTGGACATAAATATAAACTTGAGTCTTCAGATCTTCGGAGTGTTTCCTTAGAACACGTTGTCTTTAGAAGCTTGAGTCTTTAGCATCTAGACATAAGTAGAAACTTCTGTCTTGAGACATTATGACTGGTTTCTTTAAACAAACATCAGAGCCTACACTATAGAGCCTTCTGGAGTGTCTCGCTACTGTTCAACAGAACTTGTATAGTTGATAAGCGGAACTAATTCTCTTCTAATGTCTTGGCCACGCTATCCATCAGAAGCAGAACCTGTTTGTTAAGTACTCAACAATAACAAACATTAGAGTATCAAAATTGTTTCATACAAACATACTCATTTGTTATCATCAAAACTCAGATAATATTGCAGAACCAAATCTTGTTCTTACATACCCTAGAAGTTGTGTTTCCAAACTCAATTCATTTGTTGTGTCTGTTTCATATTTAAGAAAATGTTAGTATGAAGTGTAAGGAGTATGTCAAATCACATATGCATGAGCATGTTATGGATATATGGAACAATATCGTATATTCAAATAACACTTGATATTGTAGGCCAAAGGGTGATGAAGAAAAAAATTTGAGAACTAACACATCCATCCACAACTTTCATGTGTTCACCACCACTAAAGCACTCCCTCCTTCCTAAAATATAAGAGAAATAACGGTAAAAAATTACAAAATATTCTATACTACAAAATGTAAACCAAAAAAATTGTAAAATACTCGATACTACAATAAAAAATCCGATAATCTTATAAAGTTTCAAAAAAGAGAATTTCTCTCTCCACCTTATAGTGAAAAGAAAAACCTTACGCATTCCTAAATTGTCCATAGAAACCTAAAATATATTTCCGGTGCACATTTTTTTTAATTAAATTTTAATTAATTTCGAAAATGCATTTCCGGAAACACCCCATACACATAAATTTCATTCATTTATGAACACCACTCCTATTTTACGATATAATTTATTCTGAAAATACATTTTCGATATTTTCCGAAAATATATTTTTGATTTTTATTCAAACCAACAGTTTACTCATAATTATTACTATCTTGCCAAGACAATACTCTCCCCTCACTCCTTTTAAAATGTCAGTTAATTGTAAAATAGGATGAATTTAAAAAAATGAATGAAATATATATATATATATATATATATATATATATATATATATATATATATATATATATATATATATATATATATATATATATATATATATATATATATATGAGTGTGGATCGAAAATATATTCTTGATTTTTAAGTGTATTTTTAAAATTTCGCGTAGTATATTAAAAAAATTATATAGGTGGAAAAAAATTCTAAAAAAAAATCCCAAAATATTTAATAAGGACATAACTGTAAAAACAATCCTACGTGGAGGTTTCAAATCGCAAAATAAATTCCCAATTTTTGATTCTTTTGAAGAGAGCCATTAGTTAATAAAATAAACACATGTTACTATAGAAACTAATTTAGTTGATAATTAATTATTTAGTTTTCTTGGATACACATAAAAGACGAACAAGAGAGCTCTGTTGACTAAAATGTAACATTTGTTGCATCTTATTCATGAAGAGAAATATATTTATTGGACCAAAAATATGGACGATTCAAATGTTGTTGTTGATATCTTTTAGACGCATCCTGGTTCAATGAAGTTATTGAACATGTTTCATTTGGTGTTGATTTTTTATTGTACATACAAAACAAACATGTACTTCATATTCCAATTTCTTCTATTTTCATTTATTTGATTATGGACTGGAAGGTGTTGATTAGTTATTTTACATACAAAACAAACAGGTATCAGTTACCAATATTTGAGATTGTTGGTGTTACATCCATGAAGTTGACATTTTCAGTTGGATTTACCTATATGGAATATGAAAGGGAGGAAAAATTCACATGGGCACTAGAGAAGTTGAAAGTGTTGTTTGCTTACGGGAAGTTGCTACCAAAGGTTTTGTTGACGCATCGTGAATTGACGTTGATGAATACCCTAAAGGTGTGAAGAAAATGCAAGAAAATGGGGGGTTTGAATTGAGTTTTGTTATCTTGAATAACTTTCACTTCTAAGAATTATTCGTTGAACAATGCTTTTGAGTGTTACTTCTAAGTAATGCTTTTAATTAAGTTAAGAAAACATAAACTTTAAAGCATAAGCAAAAGTAAAGAACACGTGATATATCCTGGTTCACTTGAGAAATCCCCAAGCTAGTCCAGTCCATCCTACCAAAGTGATTTTACCTTAAACTCAAGGACTTAATCCACTATAACCAAACTGATTACAATTTTCACAAGCTACCCACAAGTGACTAACAATATTTAAGACACACAAGTCCTAGACTTCTTAAAGATACAAACCTACCCAGTCCCTTAAGGAAAATCCTACACAAGCTACTCGCAAGTGACTAACAACCAATGACGCGTTCAGGGATCCAAACTTTATATAACGTTCATTGACCCAATAGAATCTGATCCCTCAGAATCTTCTATCAAGATTTCCTTACAATGATATCCATCAAGGATCTCACAAGAGTCTGACCTTCACTCAGTCCTATTTGAGATATGACTACCATTGATCCAATAGAAACCACTATCAAGATTTCATAATGACCTTCAACCATTTTCTTCTTGTGCACATACCTCTACTTAGTCTCTCAAGGAAATAATCAACAACAGTTGATGGGTTTCTTGTGTTTACTTGAATGCTTCTTCTAAGCAGATTGCATAAGTGTTTTGAGCATATATTGTTTAACACTTCTACAAGCAATAATCAAGTGTTAAAACAATTTACATAAAGAGATTAGAACAAAACACTATTCGAGCAACAACTCTAGTGTTCATTCCATGATTGTACAAATATGAATATGATCTAAGTTCAAGTGCAGCATCTTGTAGTCTTCTTGTCTTCATTTTCTTTATTGAGCAAGCTATGAGCAATAACTTCTTGCTTCTTCATATTTTTACCAAGAAGTATTTGATAAGAATTTGAGTATCATCTTGTGAATTCTTCTTGTTGTTGTTGTTGTTATAGTGGTTGATAACTTTTTGGTTGCGTTCCAATAATGACAGCTTTCATTTTTAACATTGAACACCAATAACATTTTAAACATGTGATTCTTTTCTTATATAGCCAAGCAAAATAGAGTCGTTGGCTATTTGAATAAGAATCGTTACAAATAGTACTGTTACATCCTTTTCTCTTCCACAATTCAAGCTAGTTGAGAGGTAGTGGAATAAGGTTTTTTCGTATTATGTACTATTGTACCATGTTACCATTATATTCTTTCCTTTTCCACTTCAGAGGCTTATGTGAGCATGAGTTTAGAAGCGAGAACATAACATAAGGTCTTCAGAACTTCAAGTTTTCAAAGTCTTCAGAACCGCGTCTTCAGAGTCTTCAGCACTTGGTCGTGAGAATCTGTTGTAGAAAACCTTGGATCATAAGAACTTCAAGTCTTCAGAGTCTTAAGAATTGCGTCTTTAGAATCTTTAGCACTTGGTTCTTTAAGAATCCTTTTAAGAACCTTGTTATTAGAAACACAAGTCTTTAGCATCTGGACTTCAGTAGAAACATTGTCTTCAGATCTTTTAACTTTGTCTTCTTTGAAATAAGTTGTCTTTAGAAACTATATTTTTAGCATCTGAACTTCAGTAGAAACTTTGTCTTCAGATCTTCTAACTTTGTTTCTTTGTAACTCATTGTCTTAAAAACTTGAGTCTTTAGCATCTGGACTTTAGTAGAAACTTGAGTCTTCAGATCTTCTGTCTGTTTCCTTAGAACATGTTGTCTTTAGAAGCTTGAGTCTTTAGCATCTAGACATAAGTAGAAACTTGAGTCTTCAGATCTTCTGACCGTTTCCTTAGAACACGTTGCCTTTAGAAGTTTGAGTCTTTAGCATCTGGACATAAGCAGAAACTTAAGTCTTCAGATCTTCAGACTGTTTCCTTAGAACATGTTGTCTTTAGAAGCTTGAGTCTTTAGCATTTGGACATAAGTAGAAACTTCTGTCTTCAGATATACTGACTGGTTTCTTTAAACAAACATCAGAGCCTACACTATAGAGCCTTCTGGAGTATCTCGCTATTGTTTAACATAACTTGTGTAGCGCATAAGCGGAGCTAATTCTCTTCTAATGTCTTGGTCACGCTATCCATCAGAAGCAGAACCTGTTTATTAAGTACTCAACATACCCTAGAAGTTGTGTTCCCAAACTCAATTCATTTGTTATGTCTGTTCCATATTTAAAAAAAAATATTAGTATAAAGTGTAAGGAGTATGTCGAATCACATATGCATGAGCATGCTATGGATCTATGGAATAATATCGTATATTCAAATAACACTTGATATTGTAGGTCAAAGGGTGATGAAGAAATTTTTTTGAGAACTAACACATTCATCCACAATTTTCATGTGTTCACCACCACTAAAACACTCTCTCCTTCCTAAAATATAAGAGAAATAATGATAAAAAATTACAAAATATTCTATACTACAAAATGTAAACCAAAAAAATTGTAAAATATTCGATCCTACAATAAAAAATCCGATAGTCTTATAAAGTTTTAAACAAGAGAATTTCTCTCTCCACCCTAAAATGAAAAGAAAAACCTTACACATTTTCTAAACTTTCCATAGAAACCTGAAATATATTTCCAGTGCACACTTTTTTATTATTAAATTTTAGTTAATTTTGAAAATGCATTTCAGGAAGTACCCCATATACATAAATTTCATTCATTTATGAACATAGTTCTTATTTTACGATATAATTTATTCTGACATTTTCAATAATTTTCAAAATTATATTTCTGATTTTTATTCAAAAAGGGTGAAGCTGCGGTGAGAAGAGAAAGCGCGGCGGTGAGAAGGGTGAAGCTGCGGCGGTTACCAAAAAGGATGAGGTTGCTCCAGAAAGACCAGTTAGGACTCTTTTGGGATGGAAGAATAAGCCAGAAAACGAGAATGAAAATGAAATTGAGGTGAAGGATAATGGTTCTTCTCCTATTTTCAGGAACAAAGAGAAAGTTTTAGTCACTTGCTCTAGGCGCATTGTTTTCAGGTACAAACACTAGGAATTTGTGGGGTTAGAATTTAGATATTGATTATAGGTGGAGTGTTTTTCATTAACTTATTATAGGTACCGACATTTGATGTTAAACATTGTATCGCTTCTGCCGCATTGCAAGAAGGATAACAAGGTTGAATCAAAAGAAACTAAAGGGGCCACATTGAACGAGCTTGTCGAGCTCAAAAACTGTTCCTCTTGAGGTATTAGGTTTTTCAGTGCCAACTTTGGATTATGTTCTGAGCTATATGCTGCTGTTGTTGAGTTGGAAAATTTGGTAACTGTCTTATTATTCTATTTTGTGTATATGAATTTCAGTGCAGGAAGGCAAAGGATCTTTATCTCTGGATGTCAAAGTGCCTGAATGGGCCTTCTGTTAAAATTTTAGTTAGTGCCGGTAATATTCTCATGTTATTGTTATCGTCATGTTACTATAGAAACTAATTTAGTTGATAATTAATTATTTAGTTTTCTTGGATCAGTGTTTAGTTCTTCTTTTTCCTTTTGAATTATGATTAACTCGCCTTTTCTGACGCCGTTTTACGAGTTTCTCTTTGACCCTCTCTACTTTCCAGTTCCCACAATGGAGGAATTGAATCTAACTGGGAATCACCTAAAAGGTTCCCGTCCACTTTTGACATTTTCATCAAATTTTGAAAAAGACGCACACTGGAAACTGTTGAAAGAGATGCTGTTACAGGTATTAGTTTGGTGCTTTGTGCTTGTTTGAATTGCCGGTGTGATTAAAAATTGTTTAATCTGCACTTTTCTCATGTTTATCTGTTCTTTCAGTGTAGTTGTTACTTGTTATATATCTTAGGGATTTCCTAAGTATATACAATTTTGAATATTGCTGACATACTCTTTTTTTTGCTTCATTCAGATATTTGAAACACCAAAGGACCATAGAAAGGCTAAGCCTTTCCATGACCATGTTTTTGTATTCTCAATAGTTGACGACCACATTTGGTTCCGAAATTATCAGGTTTGTGTTTGCATCTGCACAAGATATAAATATAAATAATTGGTTTACTGTTTAGAGGCGTCTTAATAAATTAAACAAGATAGAAGTATCATTTTCTGCTAGTACACTTGCATTTTTGCAAACATAGCTTTGGAATGCTTATCTCATTCTGCTTCATGATGTTTATTGAGGTATTTTAGATAATTAACCACATCTTTATTCCCATGCAGATCTCTGTTCCTCATAATGAGTCAGACAAATTACCTCGAGGAGGCCTTGATAAAATGACATTAATTGAGGTCTGTAAACTTGTTTATCGATTTATATTTTGATTTGTCAATTCCTAAAATTTCCTTTAACTTATTTGTGCAAATACTTGCTTAGGTTGGTCCACGGTTCTGCTTGAACCCAATTAAAATATTTGGTGGCAGTTTTGGAGGTCCACTCTATATGTGAATCCATTCTATGTGTCGCCAAACCAGGTACCAACCAACGTGCTCTCAATTCGCTCTCTTAATTTCTCTAGTTCTTTTACTGAAAATAACTACATCTTGTTTGTGTTTTTAATCCTTTTATGTCGGTTTCGTTGTAGATTCGAGCTTTGCAGAAGAAGAAAAAGGCTGGAACGTTTGCAAAGAAGGTCAAAGCAAAGACAAGGAGGAAAAGGCATGAGATGGCGAATCCACTGGAGCCTGATGAGTTTGCAGATATGTGGAAAGATTAAACTTAAATTCACCCGCTTCTTTTCACCAAATTTAAGAATGGGCTATTCACCTTAGAGTGGTTTTGTTTGGCATTTCCATTCTTTAAAGTTTTGATTTTGAGAATTGCTTTATGTGTTCAATTGGAGATTTAGGATGTGTCTATGTTACCACCAAACTATGATCTTTATCATAAAAGGTAGATTACTGGGATTCTGTAATGTTTTGTTTAATTCATGTGGGGACTATTTCAGGATTTGCTCTACTCTTCCTTATGCTATAGCTATTTTCTTAAAATGCTTGGATGTTAGTATAAATTATCAATTGACTTCCTTTCTTAAGTTAGTAGCTTGTTTAACAAAATAAGAAGTGATTGAGTGTGTTCCTTAGGGTCTAGTTTCGCAAAAACAGCTGATTAATTCTCTAAAAGAAATGTTTAAGACATTATCGTACTAATCTTAATTGGTCACATCCAAATACTCAAAACATTGTAATTCAGTTATGGGTTCAACGTCATTTTATAGTTGACAAAGGTGAATTGTTCCAGTGTAAAAGGAGAGCTTTAATTTCTCATGATTTAAATTCTTGCTTTGAATAGTTTTAACTAGGTATATGAGACAATGAGATTCGGTACTTCTTGTATTACTTATATCATCGAACTTAGGAAGACTTACTAACATGAACAGGAAATTCCATTGAAAACAGTTGAGCCTTCACAAAAGACAAGCTCTGCAAAACACAAATCTGCAGTGGAACAAGGTGTCTACAGGGGGATACTGCATTTGAATCAATTGCAATGGTAAATGAGTAAGATATTAGAATCCACAAAACAAAAGGTTTGATCTGAATGCAATCCAATGAAAGACCTGCAGACTGAACCTCTAAATTCATCATGAAAGCATGAAAATGTTGATGTCTTGAAGACAGTACCAGCGTAGTGGATCAACAGTGATGGGCAACTTCCATCTTTGGAATGCCTCATATTATCAGCATCTGCCACGCCAACCTGCCAGGCTCGCAAAGTCACATGAAATGTGACTTCTGCTGCTGGCTTTAGAGGTAGGTAACATTTTAATGTTTCAGAAAAATATGAAATTATGGAATATTGATTTTCCCTGACAGTGAAACATGTTTCTGCTCAATAGAAACTGTGCCTGAATTAGCCAAACTTATCCACACATCAGGAATTTTGCCTTCGTAAAAAATGATGGCCTCATCACCTCCAACATGTGATATCAGCAATGGAAGTGGCGGTTCTACAGAAATACTTGGAACAGATACATTCTTCAACTTTAGGTCATTGCCAAAACTTGCATAGCACTTACTGCAGCCGGCCTATTTTGTTGCTGCAAATATAATTGTTCTGGACTGGGCCCGACAGGCCCAAAGGCATTGCTAAGGCCCAGTCCAAAGGGACTTACTAGGGACCACGCCGAGCAAAGGAGTCACATCCGTGTCCGACATCCTGATGTCCAGCTCGACATCCGCTGTCCAACTCCACGTGATGATGTCCAGCTCGACACCCTGACGTCCAGCTCGACACCCTGCTGTCCAACTCGACATCCTGCCGTCCAGCTCCACGCCCTAACGTCCAGCTCGACACCCTGCTGTCCAGCTCGACGTGGGCTCGAGCAACCCAGCTAGGGCAGACTCAGTCCACCGTTCCCCCTACGATACTCCGGAAAGACCGCGTCTCCGTCCGCCCGCACTTCACGCAGAACATCCAGGAAGGGGACCACGTGCGGGTCCCCACTACCCACGTAGAACCTGGCAGTTCCTCCATTGGGCCAAATCCGCCCGGCCCAATGGAGGAACCTTGGCCCAGCGCTGGGGGCTATAAATACCCTCTGTTTCCAGAGGGTCAGGTATTCATCATTCTAACCTCAACTTCTATTTATCTGCTCGTACTCCTACTTACTTCAGCATCGGAGTGTCTTGCAGGTACCCCCCCCCCCCACCTCGTCAAAAAAACTTTCTGCTCGGAGCCAGCCGTGACGGTCCAAACCTTCTGATCAGGTCAGATCAGTGGCGCCGTCTGTGGGAAACAGCTTCCCCGTCTAACGAACAATTCCAAAGACTAAAGCTCAATTCAATTACCTGTCATGGCTGATCCAGCTCGCGAAGAGCAGCACGTCCGTGTCACCGACACTAATAACGGTCCCGCGGACAAGAATGGACACCTCGACAATCCCGGTGATCCCGGCCACAATGCCATCCCTGTGACAACCGCCCCTGGACCTACCTCTCACAGGGACGGGGCTACTGCGTCGTCCTCTACGACCCCTCCAGCACTCGAAGACGACCCGGAAGCTCTCGCTTATCGCAGAGCTGCTCGGTTCTATGAAGTCCCAGTTCCTGCCGGGGCAGATGCCACGACTCAGGCACTGTTCGCGGCCATCAACCAGACTAATTATCTCATATTCGCCCAAGGAGAAAGACTAAGGGCGCTAGAAAATGATCGACGACCCCCGAGGAGGCATCAGAGGCCACCTTCTCCACCTCCTCGAGTCGAAGAAGTTCGACACCCTACTCCCCCGCGGAGACACTACAGGGAGAACTCTAGGAGCCCCTCTCCCCGACCAAAGCAGAGGCGGCCCCAATATGAGAGACAGTCCGTCATCCCTACCGAGGAACCCAGTCGCGACCCCTCAAGGCACGACAGGAGGCACGCCGGAGACGGGCGAGTGACCTTCAACCACCGAGCATCACGCTCGAGGGAATCTCAGCACGATCATCGTGCCAGACATCACTACAGGACCCCTTCTATTTCTCCGGAGAGGAGCGACGAGGACGACCCCCGCGGTCCCCTGTCGCAGGCCATCATGGATGCACCTATTCCCCCGGGCATGGAGAAGCCCCCACATCTGAAGGAGTATGACGGCGTAGCAGACCCGGTCGACCACATTGACGGGTTCGAAGCCATGCTCCACTATCATAATGTCGGGGGGCCCATCAAGTGCCGTCTCTTCCCCACAACTCTCAGGAAGGCGGCCATGGACTGGTATAAAGGACTCGCCCCGGGCTCCATCACCTCGTGGCGGAACCTGAAGAACCAGTTCATCAGTTCCTTCACAGCTTCTCGGCGCCACCCGAAGACCGAGGCGGCCCTCGAGGCCATCATCCAAAGACAGGATAAAACCTTGAGGGAATTCATCAACCGCTTCAACCGAGAAGCAATACAGGTCCCCTGCGCGGACCATATGAAAAGATATTTGCTGGAGAGGGGCCTCCTCCCCGGCACAGAATTCAGAAAAGCCGTGGGTATTGAGCCACCTGCAACTTTTGATGCTCTCCTCGACAAAGCCCGAGCATACATGGACTACGAGGAGAGAGAAGCTGCCAACAGGGCACGAGACTCCAGGGCTCGCGCTCCCAATCATAGCAGCAGCTCACGACAAGACCCTCCTCCCCGACGAACCGGGGAGAAAAGGAAGGAAGATCGACCCCGGGAGGTCCGAGAACAAAGGGGCCCCTCGGGCCGTTTCACCGAGTACACTCCGCTCACGGCTTCCCGCGAGCGTATTTTGGCGGAGTGTGCTAGCACAGATTTCAAAGACGGTGGCGTCAAGCGTCCCCGGCCAGCTCCTGCCAAGCCAGGGGTAGACAAAAATAAATACTGTCAATACCATAGGAGTCATGGCCATTTGACAGAGGACTGCGTCCACCTCAAGGACGCCATTGAAACCCTCATCAAAGGAGGGAGGCTCGCACAGTACAGGCGAAACGACGCTCCCCGTCGTGACGCCCATGAAGCTAAGGAGCCCGAAGAAGATGCCCGACCATCTGACGAGTCGGTACCAATCCAGACCGCCTTCTCGGTAACCAGGCCCGAGGATTTCGAAATTCCCGAGCTCCTGCAGAAGCCCCTGACGACACACAGCAGGTGGGAATACTTCCCCTCCGCCATGGTCATCAACGGGGGCGGGTTCAACGACCTCACCATCAATTCAGCCAAGAGGAAGTTGGACGAACTGGTCGACGCAGCTCCTCCACAAACTGTGACGTTCGAAAGGGTGAAGGGCAGGTCAGAGCCCATCACCTTCTACTTAGAAGAGCTCCCCGGCGGAGCCCCGAACGCAGTCATCCCCTTGCTGATAAGGGCAAAGATGACCAATTTTGACGTGCATCGCATCCTGGTCGACGAAGGGAGTTCCGTCGACGTGATGTACAGCCAGCTGTTCCGGACTTTGCAACTGGACGACTCACACCTCTCTCCGTATGTGGGTTCAGACCTTCAAGGCTTCAACGGCTCGACTTCCAAACCTTGGGGTTATGTCGAGCTCCTGGTGACGTTCGGGGAAGGAACGGCTACAAGACAGGTGAAGGTCCGCTTCCTCGTCATTGATTGCCCGTCCCTATACAATTGCATCTTGGGGAGGCCGACATTGGCGGAGCTGACAGCGGTGCCCTCAACTGTCCATCTAAAAATGAAGTTCTATACCAAAAGGGCAAGGGTAGCCACCATCCAGGGAAACCTCGCCGCTGCCCGCAGGTGCTTCAACGCCGCTTCAAGGGGACGGGATACCGTCGACGTGGGTACCAGTACCAGACCCCCCAAGAAGACAAAGCAAGAGCCCGACAGAGCATCCCCCGAGGTAGAAGTTCAGAAGGCTCCACCAAAGGTCGACTCCATAGCCCTCGACGCCCGCTTCGACCAAGACGAGCCATCCAGCAGCGAGCAAATCCCCCTCCGACCTATTCCGGACGGCGATTTTGAACTCGTTCCCCTCGGAGCAGACCCGACCAAGGGAGTGAAGATTGGCAAAGACCTCCCCGACTTGGCCAGGAAGCAAATCAAGGCCTGTCTGCGCGAGAATGCTGATCTCTTCGCCTGGAGCGCTGCAGAGATGCCCGGACTCGACCCTGAGGTCGCCTGTCATCACCTCGCCATTGATCCAGCCGCCAAGGCCGTAGTACAACGTAGGCGTAGGCAGTCTCCAGAAAAAACGGAGGCTGCTGAAAAAGCTGTAAAAGACCTCCTAGAGGCAAATTTTATTTCCGAAGCCCGGTATTCCACCTGGCT